GTGGTGACATTAAAGTTATATCTGCCGAACCTTGCCTTTAAACTACTATCATTATCTCGTGACTCTTGTCTATTTCGGTCATTTCTGAACCTTGATGAAGAACCAGATTCCCTGTTCCTCGATTTTTGATCATATCGTTGACTATCCTGCTTTGACCATGAGTCTTTCCCTGCAGGTCCCATATATGGATCGTACCTGTTTTTACCTGATCTTTTTTTGGTTTCTGATCTCCTGGAATTACTCCTTTTTTCATGACGAAACTGAGGTACGATATCTTCCTCAATTCGCAACTTCGTACTATACCTATTATAAACGTCATTCCACGTGGTTGCAGGAAATTCTCGAAGGCTTTCTTTAAGTCTTCTCGTGGCTTCTGAGCTTTTGTCATTTAAGTTGCTTGCAAAAGCTATTGCATCCCAGTTATCAAGTACACGGGGTAAAGTCATTCTTTCACGTTGGAATCTATCAACAAAATCCCTGAGCAACTCGGAGTCCCCTTGCTTGATTTTGAAAATATCCTCCATTCTTTTCTCAACCTTTTGAGCTCCCGAGTGTGCTTTAATAAAAGAATCTGCAAGCTCAGCAAAAGAATTAATAGAATTTTCGGGTAAAAGAGAATACTAGGTCAATGCGCCCTTGGTTAGTGTTTCTCCAAATTTCTTAACCAGTATTGATTCAATTTCTAGTTTGGTCAAGCCATTGCCTTTCACGCCTGTTGTAAATGCAGTTACGTGATCACGTGGGTCTGTTGTGCCATCATATTTTGAGATGTCAAGCATTTTGAACCTTTTAGGGATTGGAAGGGGAGCAGCACTTAGTTTCCAGGGTTGTTGTGAGTATTTATCCACATCCACTCCTTTAATTTCAGGGGGAGCTCCAGGGATTTGCTCGATGCGCTCATTTTGTTCCTTAAGCTGTTTCTGCAAAGTTAATACTAAATTTTGCAAATGAGAATTATTTGAATTACCTGGTTCTCCTTCCTGTGGTTCACTGGGGGTTCCTCCATTTCCAGAATTAACAAGGCCAGAACGAGGATTCTCCAGTGTATTATTATTAGGTGTAGGTGTGGGTGGTGCAACAGGTAATCGACTAACTAGAGCCTGAAGAGCTTTGTTAACCCATGCATCAATTACTTTTTGTAAAGCTTCATCTACCCCTTCAAAATGTTCAGATTGCTCTTGTTGATCAGCACGAGATTCAGGAGCAGGAGTGCCTTCACGAGATTGACGTGGTGAATTTTGAGGGGAGGGAACCACGTCAATGTTCTGTAAATCTCCTTGATTTTGATGGATTTGATTTTCATGGTTTCCCAAGGTGTTTTCACT